CCCTCGATGTCCAGTCAGAAGAGTCCTTCCCGGCCCTCGGAGGTCCCAAGGCCTCGTCTCGCCCTTCTGCCGTCCCAATGGCATGGGGAGGAAGCAAACCACAGCCATCTGCCGCCGGTTCTGCCTCTACTACCACCACTCCGGCTCCTGCTCCTACTCCGGCTTCAATTCCCACTCCGGCTGCTTCTACCCCCAGACAGCTCGTCATTCCGGGAAAACATGTAGACCAGTTCCGCTTTGACTCGTCCCAGATGCTGCCTCGCTCAGAGCTCAAGAAGCCCGTCTCTGACATCCTCAGGGACATCAGCAAGAAGTCCAAGGTCAGACTCGAGGTCAGGGAGGGTGCCGGTGGTGTCTACATCTTCGAGGGCACCGGCAACGTCGACGCCGTCAGGCAGGCCTTGAAGGAGGTTGCCCAGCAGGTTGGCAGCACAGTAAGTCTCTCTTCTTTTTCTTTTTTTGTCTTCTTCCTCTTTTTTAAAGACAATATACTGACTGGAGAAGAAATCGGTCAAGGTCCCGGTGCCGGCTTCGGCCAGACCACACATCATCGGCCGTCAGGGAGCCGTCATCCAGGGCATCCTCGACCGCACGGGAGCCCGCATAGACGTCCCCAAGCCGGACGAGTCCAAGCCGCTCGACGACGACGACGAGGACAACACCATCGAAATTACCATCGAAGGTGACGCCCTCGCGGCAGAGATGGCCCGCAGAGAGATCGAGGCCCGCGTCAAGGAACGCACCTCCAACATCAGCCTCCGTCTCAAGACCGTCGCGCCCGAACTCTTCCCCTTTATCGCCGGCCCACACAACCAGTCCATCAGCAGGCTCGAGGAGCTCACCAAGACCCAGATCCGTGTGCCCAAATACCACACCTGGGGCCACCGTCCCCCTCCACAGGAGCCATCCTCGGCCACAGCTGCCGTGGTATACACTCCCGACCCAGACCAGCACATCATCATCGTTGGTGAACGACAGGCTGCCCAGGAGGCCCGTACCCAGATCGAGCGCAGAGCCCAGCTGCTGCAGAGACGCATCACCCTGCGTCAGCTCGCCATCAACCGCGGACAGCACCAATTCATCGTTGGCGACAAGGGTGACTCCCTGCACGACTTTTTGGCCTCGACCGGATGTGCCATCGTCCTGCCTCCACCATCGGACGACACGGAGTTCCTCACCATCACGGGCCCCGCAGAGAGCATCGAGGCTGGTGTCAACCGCGCCATGGATCTGGCTACCAGCATGCAGATGGCCAACATCGACGTCTCGCGCCAGCACCCCAACGCCCCCTGTGGCTCGGATGTGCATGCCCGCGCCCTGACGGCCTACCTCCAGCACCGCCGAGTCATCGAGCATCTCGAGAAGACTCACGATTCCCACATCGTCCTGCCCCTCGAAACGACTGCTGCCTCCTCAAACGCCCCCATTACCTGGGAAGTCTACTCGCGAAACGGCAAAAATACGATCCTGGCACGCTCTGATATCATGAACCTGATCCAGGCCCTGCCCCCGTCAAAGCTGGCCACCGTGCCCGTCGATCCGTACCTGCACGGATACCTCCGCTCGCGTGGCCTGCCCCAGCTCAAGGAACAGTTTGGCGTCCACCTGGTCGTGCCTGAAACCGCTGCCCTACCCTCATCCGATGATAGGCTAGTCAACCTTGTCCTCGCCTACGAGGGCCCAGAAGAAGTCACCGCCCAGAGCCCCTGTCTCAAACGTCGCCCCTCAAGCGAGGACGCCGCCGTTTTCCAGAAAGCCCTGCGTGAAGCGACGGAGTATTTGCGCTCTGTCCTGGGTGATCCCAGCGACGTCGCTTGCCAATCTGTCCCCATCCCGCCCAAATACCATGACAGACTGCGCCGTTACGTCGCCCAGGATCAAGCCAGCTACGGCGAGACGCATATACCCGTCAGCCTCGCATTCGCTGCTGCTGGTAACAGCAACAACGCTAGCAACGCCACTATCCGCGGCCGGTCAACCGACGTAGAGAACCTGGTAGCTAAGCTAGCCACCTTTGTAGCCGACCAGGAACGCGATGACCGTGAGCGCAACCACGTCACTACATTCGACTTCCCTCAGAAATACGCAAACTTCCTCATCGGCAAACGAGGCGAAAACATCAACAAGCTGCGTGACGAGTTCGACGTAGATATCAAAGTCGAAAACGGCAAGGTAGACATCAAGGGACCCCCCGCAAAGGCCGCACTAGCAAAGACTCGCATTCTTGCTCTGGCTAAGAAACTCGAAGACGAAGCTACCTATGTTCTCAAGATTGCACCACAGTATCATCGCGACCTTATCGGCCAGAAGGGAAGCCAAGTCAACCGTCTCCAGGAACGGTACAACGTCCGCGTTCAATTCCCTCGTGCCAACAACAGCAGCAACGTGGCAGACGACGTTTCCGTAGCCGACGCAAGCGAAGCCGCCGGTCCTACCAACGGCAGCGGTAACGGCAACGGCAACGCTCGTTCCCGCCCTGCCCAAGCAGCGGATGAAGTCATCATCCGCGGTCCCAAGAAGGGCGCCGACAGCACCCGCGATGAAATCCTCTCGCTTTACCAGTGGCTTGTAGACCACTCGCATTCAGCTGTTGTATCGGTTGCTCGCGACCAGATACCGTCCCTGATTGGCCAGCGGGGACGAGAGATGGATAAGTTCCGTGCTGAAACGGGTGCGCAGATTGACATTCCTGGGCCCGAGGCTGCAGAGGGCGAGGCAGGAGCCAGAGTCGAGATCCGTCTCAAGGGAACCAAGAAGCAGGTCGAGGATGCGAAGAAGCTGCTTCTTGCTAGGGCCAGGGACTTTGATGAGACAGTCACTCGTACCATTGAGGTTGATAAGAAGTACCACAAGGCTCTCATTGGTGCAGGAGGTACGTTTTTCTGGCTTGTTTCCATTTCTAATAGAAATAAGACGAAAAGTAATAACTATTTGCTAACATGTATACATACAGGCGCCCACATACGTAAACTAATCGTTGACTGCGGCGGGCCAGACGACACCACCGCATCCCGCGTGGTGAAGTTCCCGCGTGCCGAAAGCGATGAAACAACCATCAAGCTCGAAGGCAAGGAGGCGGTCGTCACCAACCTAATCAACGCAATTGAAGAGTTCGTCCGCCAGAAGGAAGACCAGGTGACCGTCTCCCTTGACGTGCCTCAATCGCAGCACCGCCATCTCATCGGCCGAGGAGGCGAAACCCGCCGCCAACTCGAATCCCAGTTCAACGTGATCCTAGACGTGCCCAAACAGGGCTCGAACCGGACCGACGTCAAAATCAAGGGTCCCTCCGCGGCCGCTGAACAAGCCAAATCACACATCGAAACCATGCTCAGGGACCAGCAGGGTGAAACGGTCGAAGTACCAGCTCACTTGCACCATGTGATATCCGACAATGGCGCGTTTTTCCGCCAGCTACGTAATAACCATCAGGTCACCGTTGATCACGCAGGGCACAAAGTACCCGCCAGACCATCCCCTGCAGCCATTGAGTCGCGCTCAGATTCAACCTCTCTCCCCCTCATCACTGACGCAGACGATAGCACGCCCGACACTTTCTCATGGAAAGTCGTCGAGCCGGCCACCCCGTCTTCTGAGTCGGCTTCAACAACCATCCCCTGGGTACTGTCCGGTTCGCCCGAGAACGTATCCAAGGCCAAAGCACTGCTTAACACAGCTATCGCCTCTGCCTCCCAGCCGTGCTGTACGGGATACTTGATCCTTCCTGATCCCAAAACCTACCGTTTCGTTGTGGGTACGGGCGGCGCACAAATCAACGCTATCCGCTCCAAGACCGGATGCAGGATTAACGTCCCCAAGGGCCAGGCTGGCGGAGAAGCGATTGAAGTCAAGGGCTCAAAAGACAACGTCGAGTTGGCTCGCGAGATGATTCTTGATGCTGTCAAGGCCGGTCTTGCCGGCGCCGGGTCGAGGAGGTAGAGATCTACCTACCGCGCTCCTGCCGTAGTTCGATGGTTGTTCGGTTCGTTGGTTAAGCATTTCTAAGCATTCATGAGTTCACTCTTTTCTATCTATCTATCGAGCTATATATATGCCAAAGTTGATTTGATACTTGACTAACTAGTTGGTTAGTGAGCTGGTTGGCCAAAAGGGGTGAAGCACAACAGATTGATTGACTGATTGACTGATGACAGATAAAAAGCGATAGCCAAAAAAAAAGAAACAAAACACAAAGCAAACAGCTAGAAATCATATCTAACTTTAGCTACTTATTCATATAACTAACTATGTATCTTACCCTTCTCATCTCATCTCATGTTCAATATTCAAATTCATCTTCTCTTCGTCTCTTCAAAGTTGTAGAAACACCACGTGACCTTCAAAATGTCGAGGAACCAAAAGAGGAAAAAACCAACTTCATCTTTTCAACTTCGTCAAGTTTTCAGCTTCAAAGCGAATATAAAAGCGATAAAACTGACTGATTTGACCATGCACCGGTGCATGTAACGTATGCTGTGAGACTATTCGATCAATTGCTTGCTCTGTTCCATGGTTCACTTCACTACATTGCCACGCTAGTCACTAGTCAGTCAATTAGCTAACTAACTACGTAGCTCCCAGTTGGCCGTTATCCCGCACTGCCGCAATAGCATCACTGAGTCGGCCCAGCGACAACACGACACGACACGACACGACAGCAAAGCGTCCTATATATACACAACACAACATAACCGGTACGGACACGATGCGATAGGCCGATGATGAACAGGGTCCCTTTATTCCCGTATGGGTAGCTCGAGTTCGACGGACCACATACCTCACTCGCTGCGTTGCTGTGACCGCCGAACCGAACGAACACGAAGCGAAACCCCCGCCAACCTCGAAGGCCGATTACCGCGCCATACGCTGAAGGCGGATAGATACACGAACGCAAAGAATCAGCAGTCATGGAAGCGGACTGGGATGAAGTGTCGCGGATCGTGGTGCCGCCTCCGGGGCCGCACTTGATGCCCACCGTAGCTACGGCGGTTGCATTCGACGATACGCAAGAGCTGCTATGGACCGGTAACGAGTTTGTACGTCTTTCTAACTCCCCTTTCCCGTTTTTGTGAGGTTCTATGCTGAGTACTCTACCTGTTAGGGCCGCGTGACGTCCTTCCATGGTCCAGAATTAACACGGTATACGTCCGTCAAAGCCCATCCGGCCTCTGAAGGGCCGGTTCGACAGCTCCTCTTCCACGATAAGGGGGTGATTTCGCTATCGTCTAAAAGCGTGCATCTGACTTCACGCCGCGGCCTGACGCAATGGCATCTATCCGTTCCGGAAATGGTAGACCTACGCTGCATGAGCTTCACTACGCATCCATCCCGTCTCATCGTCGCAGGGTGTCAGGCCACGATGCTCATTCTAGATCTGGACAAGGGCACAGTGGTAGAGAAGTTACCCGCTGCAGCAAACTATACCATTATGAAGAAGTCTCGACATCTTTGCGCTGCTACGGATGCAGGGTCGGTCCACGTACTTAGTTTGACGGATTACAGTCTTCTGAAGAGTTGGAAGGCTCATGGCGCGGTTATCAATGATATGGATGCGCGCAACGACTTTTTGGTTACATGCGGCTTTTCAGTACGGCATATTGGAACGCCCATCGTCGACCCGCTTGCAAACGTGTATGATCTGAAATCACTCACCCCGCTCTCTCCCGTCCCCTTTCATGCCGGAGCAGCGTATGTCCGCATGCATCCTAGACTACAAACAACAAGCTTCATCGCGTCACAGTCCGGCCAGCTACAAGTTGTTGACCTCATGAATCCGAACTCTATCAGTCTTCGCCAGGCAAACGTCAGCTTCATGCTGGGCATGGAGATCTCACCATCCGGCGAAGCCCTAGCCGTCAACGATGCAGAATGCTCAGTTCATCTCTGGGGCTCTCCTGCAAAAATCCACTTCAATGAAATGAGCAAGGAAACTGAATTCCCTGCCGTCACTACTCGACCACCAATTCTAGATTGGTCCTCTGATACCCCGCTGAACGTAGTCGGCATGCCGTATTACCACGACCGTCTGCTTTCAGCTTGGCCCAGCCATCTTGTTTTCGAGATAGGAAGTATTCCTAAACAAGTTGATCCGGCCATTCTTCCGTACTTACATCCGAGTGATATGGGCCAATATGCCCCAAACCCACGCAAGACTCATAGATATCAGGTGGAAAATACCCGGTGTCAACCTACGACGGAGACTGCGCTTGCAGCTCCCAAGTTCCTAAGTGAAAAGGCTAGGCAACATACCAAGTCGAAGTCTCTTGGTGATAAAGACTCGTTGGAGGAATTGGATGGCCTTAAGATCAATGGGGAGTCAGAAAATGATCCCTTACTGAAATATAGTAATGTCGAAATCAAATATAGCAAGTTCGGCGTTGACGACTTTGATTTCAGGTAAGATACCGCATTTCCTCGTTCTACTTACTCGCAGTATACTAATGTATTGTAGGTACTACAACAAAACAAACTTCTCCGGTCTAGAAACACACATCTCCAACTCATTCATAAATGCACTCCTCCAACTCTTCAAATTCATCCCACTCGCCAAAAACCTCGCTCTTCATCATGCCGCGACAAACTGCATCTACGAGACCTGTCTGCTCTGCGAAATGGGATTTCTCTTCGACATGCTAGACAAGGCAAACGGGCAAAGCTGCCAAGCAACCAACTTACTCAAAACATTCAGCGGGTTCAGAGAAGCAGCTAATCTCGGCCTGTTGGAAGAAAACCTCAGCAATAAATCTCTTGCTTCCACCATCCAATCCGTCAATCGATTCTTTTTAAACCAGATATCCAACGACTACAGACTTCTATACCCAAGCTCCGATCAATTAGACCAAGTTCTCGCCACTTCCGCCTTAGAGTCAGTTCGATGCATGTACTGTCGTAACGAAATAGTTCGAGCAGGAAACACCTTTGTAAGCGAACTAGTATATCCCGCCGTCGACATGAAGCAAGCAGCACGTAACCCTGCATGTCGATTCTCCAACGTTCTTCGCGCCAGTATCGAGCGCGAAGCCCAAAACCGTGGCTGGTGCAGCACCTGCAGACGATACCAGCAAGTTGCCATTAGGAAAACAGTCGAGAGAATGCCGATGGTGCTCATGATTAATGCAGCTATAAATAACCCCGTCTGTAGACAGTTCTGGTCTATACCAGGCTGGCTGCCTGAGGAAGTCGGAATTATCGCCGATGGTAAACAGATGCGATGTTTCGAAGGTGCAGAGCTACAGGTGCAGAAACGTGAAAAGACACCTAATTTACTGATATACCAGCTTGTTGGGTTGGTGGCGGAGATTGATATCGTGGAGCAAAAGAAGCCTCATCTGGTATCTTTCATTGACGTGGCTATCTCTGCGACTACGCAGGCTGAAGAGAGCAAATGGCATCTTTTCAATGACTTCCTTGTCACTGAAGTCGATAAGAATGAAGTGTTATCATTCAAGCAGCCGTGGAAACAACCGTGTGTGTTGTCCTACCAAATATCAACTGCTAGACACGGAGTTGATGACTCGTGGAAGAATGCCTTGGATACCACTCTCCTTTTCTACGAGTGGTCTATGAAGTGAGTTATCCCCGTAAATTTTAATTATTGGTTGTCGCAGTAACTAACATCATGTCTTTTAGCAACTGTCGCCCAATCGAGTCGTGTCAGGTGTTGAAACCGGATGAGAAACCTACCCCAGGAACTGCTATTGCTCTGGACACAGAGTTTGTAGACTTGGAAAAAGCAGAAATCGAAGTCAAGGCTGACGGAACACACGAGATGATTCGACCCAGTAAGAGTGGTCTCGCTCGTGTTTCTGTTATCAGGGGTAATGGTACCCTTGAAAGCTCCCCATTTATCGACGATTATATCACCATCAAAGACTCCATTGTCGACTACGTCACTCAATATTCTGGTATCAAACCTGGAGACCTAGACCCGCGATCAAGTACACACAATCTTGTTCCGCTTAAGGTAGCGTATAAAAAGCTATGGCTACTGCTCAACCTAGGTTGTGTCTTCGTTGGCCACGGACTTACGTCTGATTTCCGGAAAATCAACATCCAAGTCCCCAAGGCCCAAACAATCGATACCCAATATCTATTCTTCCACCCTTCTAAAAATCGCCGACTGAGTCTCCGATATCTTGCCTGGGCTGTGTTTAAAGAATACATCCAGGAGGAAAACCCCAGTCCTTCCCCCAAGACGTCAGCAGCAACTCCTGATATCCCTACATCAAACCCAACTTCAGCTCCTGCCACAGCTACAGCAGAAGGCCACGATTCCATTGAAGACGCACGTATGGCGCTGCGACTATGGAAGAAATTCCAAGAATACGAAGATGCAGGTATCGTCAACCAAATGCTTGAAGAAATCTTCCGTGAAGGCGTAAAGCATGGATTCCGTCCTCCTCCCCGTCATCAACCACAGTCATCTGGAGCCTCCGCATACCAACCCTCAAGCTCCGGACTGGCAGTGTATAACCATAAAGTATCTGGACCAGTCACTGCAGCCTCGTTATCTTCTCCTCCAAGCGGACGGAATACACCAGACACAGGGCCAGGAGGGGGTGCCTTGGGTACAAACGGTGGTGTAGGCGATAACCCGCCCACAACTCCACGTCAGATGTTCCGACGATCTACCGCGTTGACTCCGACGAGTAGCAGTTACTCAGGGGGTGTTGGAAAGTATCCCATGTTTGGAGGGAGCCCCATGCGTTAACTGACCTTATTGTCCCATCTGCACCTCAGCCGTATATCTACTAGTGGTGAATGGCAGCGACTGCCAGAAGCTATTGTACCTTTGCAAACGGTTATATATATGACCATCGCCATTGATAGAGATGGTAGATCCATATATTCAACAACTGTGATTTAAAAATTTAATATAGTGTTTGACAAAAAAAAATTGAAATCGACCTTTATTTAACTGCCTTTCCGGTGACCTGGTTTTATTTTATACCGGTACGTATTGTTTGTCTTGACAGAAATGGCAACAGGCAGCACCTTCCACAGACTAAAGGCAACGGGCCCCCCTTTCCTTGATACCAAATACAATCTGGCCGTTATTTATATTCTTCTCTTTAGCTGCGCAGCAAAGCTGGTCATCAATCACATTATATCAACTCTTATCACCAGCAATTATATATATTTTATCGGTATATATCTTACTCAAGATGGAGCACGAAGAGTGCGATGATAGGAGCCACAATTGTCTTCCTGCTTATTTCCGAGGATCCCGAGCCCTGAGAACTATCACAAAAATGTACCTTGATTCTGAGGCTGCCAGGATCCGAGAAGTTGAAGAGGCCATTGAGTGGATCTCATCTAAAGAAAGTCTCAGGCCTTCGGGGGAATCTATTCTAAAAAAGAAAGTATCGAACGTGTGGGATATGGTATACAAGTTCGTTATTAGCACCGATTACGACAGCCCATTGCTAGATTCAATGGTGTTTTTTCTTGTCAACTTGAAAAACAGCCCCCCGGTCCGCCAACGAGTCCATGATCCAGAGACACATCTTCCGAAGATTGTAAAAGACTCGAACAGGATATGGAAGAACGCGACGGGCCAAGACCTGAAAATATTTGTAAGAAAGCTTAAGCCTTCACCTAAATCAAGCGGTTTCTGTGAAGATGGAGATCCACCAAGCGATACCAGTGAAGGCGGAATTCAGTTGCCAACCACGGCAGATACAGAGAAATCGGATGAGGGAAAGGCAAAGGCTCAAGAAAAGGCAGGACAACAGAACCACGATGAGAATAACAGCAGTTCAGGAGCTGTGCGGCTTGATACTACTAAAAAGACAACTGAAGAGTTGAATAGAGTCGAGGTTCCCATGGTGAACCAAACTGTCCAGATCGATGGCATGACCTTGTGGAATGAGTTACCGCTTCTAGATGACTTTTTATACCACAAGTTCATGGGGATTGGTCAACTAGATCGGCGAGAGAAATGCAGTTTGGCCGGTTTACTTGGTCGCATGGTTGCTGGAGGACTATGCAAGTATAAGTTTGGTTGTATGGCCCTCTGGTTAATCCGGGAGACACTGGAGACGCCACGCTTGGTAAAACTTGATGATAATCCAGATGAAGACGGTCACGGATTAGAAGACCAGTCGGATGAGGATAAAAGCAAGAAACGACAGGTCAAAGAGAAGAAAAAGCGGCAGCAGAATAAAACCGTCACAGATGATCAGCTCGGAAAGGAATTTGATAAACTGTCTGTCAACGACCTTCTACCTCCATGTATCACCCTGCTTGATGCTTGCGGCAAAAACCTTGCATACCTGACCAAAACGAAGTTCACTGTTCGTGGACTCTATGATAACAACCAATGGACCCGTGTGGGAGATCTGGCTGCAGATTCTGTCGGAGAAGGCGAAGAAGGCTTCAGTACTAGAAGATGGATGTTCTGGAAATCGCGATTCAAGAGACTCGCTAGGCTTGAGATACGCCCTTTGTCAACTGAGGCACGACGCGGGCTCAGCATCTTATACGACTCAGGGGCAAAATCGGGATTCGAGTTCCCGGGCGACCGGGAGTATATGAGACGGTCATTCGAATACTTATCCAGAAATGGAAGCTTACTTCAGGATCCTTCTTCTATAGATCTTGATTGAATTGGCGAGGAAATCTGCCCTTGAATAGCGTGAAGAAGTCTGGTCTCCGGTTTACGTTCCTGCTCCCGCGAGTGATAGCTGTTGAGATGCGATATCGTTACCTTACTTCATTCTTAACTACTTATTCTCAACTTCCCAACATGATTGCAACGCATAACTAACTAACTAGTTTGGATGAATGCATTTTGCTACTCATCTTCCGTCCACACCGGGCTGAATATATCGATGCATTCCATAGTAGTCAGCCATCCAGATTTTTCAAGAAAAATATCAAAAGCTTGGATGGGCTAGTAGGAGAAGTAATCGAGTCCAAGGAGCATCAGTTGCGGCTGATGTTAAACATTTTTGGGCTAAACCTTACGGGCATTAAGCTCGTTTCCCGCTAAGCCTAAAATCCTGAAGATGTTGACATATTTGATTAGAAAAGGGAGAGTGGTTTTAGATGTTGATTTGTGTTCCGGATACAATTTAGCCATCTCATAGGCAAAGGAACCAAATGGTGTGATTATTTTTTTTGAAGTGGTCCAATCCAACTCGATAGTTATATCATAGTCAATATCACTGAATCCCCAAACTTGTCCCTCACGAGGTAACTCGGTATCAATAGAGCGTAATGAATGGCCCTAGATACAAGTACAGCCACGGTAATTGTTTGTACAGCGACCGTTTACCCCATTGCACCCGTTTTTATCACATTGCTGGTAGAAGTTCCTGCTACAGCCATAACCGCATTGACATCCAGCATATGTGCCCTGATCAACTAATCATTAGCTTCTTGTATTTAGTTAATGCACTCTGGAGTTGAATTGATAACGCACAGAGTGACAGATCAATGTTTTTTCATCTCCATTGCAGTTATTGTCCCAGCAGTTTCCGACGGGATATTTGCACTCGCTACGACGAGAGATAACGTCGCGGTAAGGGTAGGCCGACGTGGTAACCAGGTAGGCAAGGCCTGCAGCCAGAAGCTTCGAGATATGCATTGCCTGAAGGAGATTGTGTGATCTTGATTGTGATTGTTGAAGGGACTGGAACAAGAAATCAACTGCTGTTTAAAGATGAGGATGTTGACTGGCACCCTCACGGGAGCAAGGCGGGCATTTATACCCATTGAAGGGGTTTCGGGCAAGGAGCAAATTTGGCATGACTCGGGTACATGCATGGTGAAATGTAGGAATTCCAGATGGTTTTACCCCAAAGGGGAGCCTTGCAGTTCCCGATGATACATCTTTGACGCCTGCCGGAGACGTGCATACACTAGTTACGGAAAACCCATTGCTATATCTGCAATCTTGCCGTTTAGGATAAAGGTGCCTTTGTTGAGTATGTACGGGAAAAGAACATATTTAATTACAGTCTCAGCCAAAAGAGGAAATCCCAAAAAAAGGAATGGTATATAAGTATAATACAAAAACAAGGAAGGAAAAAAAAAGAGCGTGAAAAGAAAGGCAAGGGTTAAAAGGAGTGTTAATATATTGCCCTGCTTTCGTCCCATTTTTTGTTTTCTCTCCTAGAGCCTGAATCAGGTGAATGTACAACATTCTCGGAAGACGGTGTCAGCGAGAACTTGACCTTCGAACTCTCCCGACGAGAAGCCAACTCACGCTCATTCGCAACACCGCTTACACCACCAATCCATTCCCAGACTCTCGAGACGTCTCCGCCACGGCTTTCACGGACTGAAGCCCTGACATTAGCGTTGCCTTCAACGAATGCTCGAACACGCTTCCACAGCTTCTCACGGCGGCTGCCCCGTAACTCGTCACGTAATACGTCATCACGTAGTTGTCCAACAGATATCCAGGGCTCTAATGCCTCACCTCGTGCATGGAGAGCAGCCTGTGTAGCAAGTCTGTCTAGTGTCATACCAACTAAAGATGGAACACGGGCAGCATCAGTTCGCCCAGCTAAGATATGTGATCGGATATATGCAGCCAATAAGAAACACAGAGTTAGAATGAGAATAGGGAGTCGATACGCGAGGAGAGAGAGTCTGAGGTGTCTTCGGATGGAGCAGGTGAAGGAGAGCTTTGCGAGAGATGTGGATGCGAATCTGATATCTGAGCTGGATGATGGACTGTGGGTCCGTACGCGGTTCTGTTAGTGTTGAAGCATAAGACGTCAATAGTTGAATAGTTGGACATTCAAAACTGAAAAAACAGCGGGGAACATAGAACTGCCTTGCTGATTGGCCGACATGTTATGGAAGCGGAAGGGGTAAATGAAAATAACCGTTACTCACCCTGTGCTGACAACAACTTCCTCGCGCCCCGTTATCTCGCCTATTGAGGCTTCCCAAAGATCGTCAAATTCTTCCTCGCTCAATCTTCCTTTCTTTCTAAGACTGCCTACTTTATCTCGAAGCTCGGAAGTAGTGACTTCTGGCGTGGATACTACTTCGTCGGTCTCTTTGTCGGGTTCACCGCACTCGAAGTTCGCTCGCTGCGTTCTTAGTTCCTCGATAGCTTTATCTGCAACCACCTTGATCCGTCGGGCCTTTTCACCATCCGCCTCGCAAGTGGGAGGTAGAGGTACGAGGCCACCTAATGACAGCGGGTGAGCCTTAAGAACAAAGCCCTGCTCACATCCGGCCTCGAAATTGGGATAACAGAAGGCATGTTGAGGGCATGTTTCACACTGTGGCTCAATGATATTTGCCCAAGCCGGTACATTTGTGTCTTCCAAGGACCAATGTGCCTTGCCAACGCCGCAATAGCCTATTTCGATCTTTTCTTTCCGCCACCAAAGGCCAAAACCACTCAGCAGCGTTAGAATGACAAACCATGACGCGAATATGCCGCCATTACTTCGTTCATTTTGAGGTCGGGCCCTCAGTACAGATCTTCGTCTTCCATTGAGGGCGTGTTCCTGATCCAACGCTAGCTGCTCGTCAGGCGTGAACTCTTCTCCGGGCTCAATATCGGATGACTCCTCGAATCGGGGCGTTCCCTCAAAATGAGAGATTGGTGAGGTAAATGTCGATCGCGTGGGAACCTGTATATCCTCTTCTTGCTTCACTCTAGCGGGCGTTCGAATTTCGGATCTGCGTCTCCTCCTCTCCTCAACTTCAGACAAGCGACTTATCCCGCTCTTCCGCCGGTGCTCTGAGTTCGGTGACTTGAATTTGGGGCTATTTAATGGAGAGCTGCCGCCCTGGAAAGGATTGTCATCTGTGAATGGTGTATCCACGGTATACTCGCTCTTGACGGCTGTTGGAGTTTCGACATTGTCGTAGTGAGATGCGTGGGGGGTAAGGTAAACCTCGCTCTTCCTTGATTTCCTGCCACTTGGCCGTATTGGTGTTGCCAAAGGGGTATTGTCGTAGTTGTCTGGCATATCGGTATCAGACGACCGCGGATGTTTGCTTGAGCCTCTGGTTGTCCTTTTCGCCGCAGAGAGAGGCGAAGTGGCTCTGTATTCTGATTCAGCAGTGGATGCCCTGGTGCTCGACCTCGTTGCTCTCGATCTGCTTCTCTGTCGCCTATCAATCGCCTCAACCTCCTCCTCTGGCTCGCCGCTGGGGTACCCGTTATATGGCATGTTTGTTATGCCCCGGCTTGTCCTTCGAACCCGATCTCTCTCACGCAGCAGTTTCTTAGCTTGTGGAATAACTTCACTTTCGAGGATAGCAACTAGCTGGGATTTCTTCGCAGACGCTGGATAGGAGATATCATGGCTCACAAGGATGGACCGAAGTCGTGGCACTGTCAGCGTATTCAAGTCAAAATCAGGTTGAAGGTAGTAGAGCTCATCATTGGTATCCGAGCCGGACGCCATGACGAAGGTAAAAAATCTGTAGAGTCACAATATATAGCAATAACCAACGTATTCGAAAGGCCCTCTCTCTGCCCTGAATCTCTATCAAGCTGATCAAAAATTGCAGCCTTTTTTTTTTTTCTGATGGGTGATGAAAGTTGTGTAATATTTGTCAACTTTGTACGGTCTCCTAGGCAACCACTAGGGCGTGCTGGAGGGGCATCTGCGGGCTGGCATAAAGAACTTCTCACACAACAGAAACAAAGACGTCCTACGCCATGGGGGTCTTCTCTTTGCCTCTCTTTCACTTGCTGTCAATATTTCCATCTCAACATTTGAACGACGTCGTTGGATTTTTCCTGCGGCGAAACAAAAACAGGAAAACAAACACGATCACGTGATAGATACGCCACCCTCGTTATATAAGCGTCACGTGGAGGTTAAGATTATCTAAGCAAGTTTCTACCAACAACAAAAAAGGAGACGGCGAGATGAGACGAGGAAGGAAAAGAGAGATATAGACAGAGCGAGTATGATAATTATGTGCCTCTTGTTGTACTGAACAACGCCTTGCCCGTTAAACCACTGTATACAACTCACAGCCGGGAAAGAATTAGAAACCGAAGAAAATATTGGCAAAAAGCGAAAAAAAAAAAAAAGGCATAACTATCAGGGGCAACAGCCGAATGAGTATGATAATCCATGATCCATCCCCTCTTTCGTTGATCTCCATAAACTCCAGGCGTGCAAAACAAAGTCCACAGTCCCCTTAACCGCAGTTGCCGAGTATACATGAAAACAAGCGTGAACAAAATCAAAAGTAACAAGGAAAACAATAACAATACACAGGATATTTTTTTGGTGGAAATGAACAAATATGCAAACCATAGATGGTAAATAAATATACCGCGCGACGGGTATCGTAGGGATATTAGAGAGTAAATATTTCAGAGATCATCTTCGGCCTGGGCGTGGCGGAGCAGCAAGGTTAATGGCGGATGATTGAGCGGATGACATTGTTGATTCAGGTAGTTCTTGGGAATAGCCGCTCGGTGGGGGTGTGGTGGGAGCACCAGAGAGATTCATCTGAGTCTTGAGTGCTTTGAACTCTGCGAGTTGAGATTGGAGCTGTTGTAGGATGTCTGACATAGGCACAGCATGGTCGAGAAGCGTGTCGTTTGGCTTGAAGGGTTGCATCATGGTTCTGATGGTGAGAGTATTGGTGCAGGTCTAAGTATGAGTTAGTGTTATAGATCAGTGTCGTGAAGTACAATTGTAGGTATCTTACCTCTATACGTGCTACTTGATGCTCAAGCAGTTTCATGACGGCAGCATCATCGATCTCGTCACCTCGGGATTTGATCGCATTGATAAATTGCAGATCAGGTTCGAGTAGCATGCTTCCACCAGGATTCTCAAGAGTGCTGCAGAAGGCCTCCAAGCGAAGGGCTATCTTGAGTAGCTGCCAGAACATATCTGCATCGATATTCAAGATGGAGTTTTTGCCTAATGTACCTGGAGAAGATGCCTCACCGGATGCCACCATGTCCGGTTGGACAGAAAGTCGTCCGGATAGAGCATGTGGGTATAGCAGGTACACGGACTCTGGATTCTCGAGACCTTTCAATTTACGCTCGCCAAGGTCCTTCACTTCAAAACCCTGCGTGCTTAACTGATAAAGCTCGCGGCGGGTGGCTTGGCCTAAAGCCTCGTCTCCAAACGTATCCTCTGACGAGTCAGAGTTGGTACGTTCATAATCTGCAAAGGCTTCTAGGGTCCTCTCCATCTCAGTAACGAAGTCTGCTGAAACAAAGATCTGTCCGCCATCGGCCACTGCCGAGATTCGAGAAGCACGGTTAACCATTGGTCCGAAATAATCCATTCGTCCCGTAACTGGATCTTTTTCACAGAGAGGCCGGCCCCAGTGCATACCCATTCTGACGGACAATCCTCTGTAAATAAGATTACCATCGTCATCATACGTCTCGCGGCAGGAAGGTGTCTGAAGCACCTCTGTCGGCCAAGGCGCTTCTAGAAGTTGCATCTGGCAAGTGAAACACCATAGTAATGCTGCAGTGGCAGTTGAAAACGATACCATGAATGCATCTCCTTCCGTCTTAACTTCAAACCCACCAATAAGTCGCAGTTGTCGCCGGAACAACTCATTATGAATCTGGATGGCAGATCTCATAGCTAGGGGATATGTCTCCCAGAGAGAAGTAGACTGCTTGATATCAGTGAAGACTATCGCAAGTTCACCCGTAGGAGCCTCCACATGGCCCAGTCTTGCTAGGGTAGAATCACTAGGGATATCACGAGCTTTCCTTTTGCGCCTGCCGAGAGGGAACATATGTTCATCGTTAAGCGGCGAGGGTCTTGATAAGCTGGGGCTCCTGAACTTGCTGCGTTCTCGTCGCTTGAGGTCATTGACACCAGCAATCATGACCATAAGCTTGCTTGTTGCACCATAGGAGATCGCTAAGTCACGAATCTTCTGCGAAGCAATCATCAAATCAGCGCGTTCGTATCTCGCTAAATCAACAACCACGTTCGGTGTCACATAATCCCACAACTGCCCGGATGCAAGAATAATCATCTCGTCCTGAGACGTGAGTGTGACTTTCACCGTGCTAGGAGCTGCGATAACAGCAGGTATCAGGTGGAAGTGCCCAAATGCTCGTGAAACCGATAGCTGGTCGTTTAGTTTTCCATTACGAGAAACATAGCCGCCAGCTTCTCGAATTCGTTCTCGCTCGGAAGCTTCAGCGGGATCGTGATTCTTCGTAAGGTACTTGAACTGTCCATTACCTTGAACTAGCAAGGCTTGGGCGTCGCCGACGTTGGCAACGAACAGCTCCATGTTCTGCAGGTACAGAACAGTGGCGGTACCGCCTGAAAAGGCATCCTCACGGTTAAGCAGCTTAGCAGCGGTTGGGTTTCGATCCCAGTGACGCGACTCCTTATCGTCCACAGGCTTGTAAGCAGCGGTAGCCATATCCTTATTGAGAGCCAAAAATGTTCTTCGCAAAGCATCTTCTGGTGTTTCGCCATTTTGTTTGCGAAGCTTTCCTAGTTCCTCCATAAATGTAGCTGTGAAATTTTCATGCAAGAATTTTGCAATCTTAGAACCCCCACCCATTGACGGCTGACCATCAAACAGCCCAATGATTGTTTCCATGTCACTACCCCTGAAACGCGGCACTACCATATCAATCATGGACAGATGCTCATTTTTGCCAAGACTATCTGCAAGGCCATATGCAATGCATCCAGACAAAGAGGAGGAAGTTCGCACACGCCTGTCTTCAGTTTCTTCAGGAATAGTCGGTATAGTGATTGTAACGTCCATCAGACCGAGAACACGTATGTAACTCAGGGAGCTGAAATCAGTTAAATCTGTCGATGGCGTTCCATCAGTACTTGGTGTATATGCACTAGACGGGTTGATTCCAAATCGTTTGTTCCCGGAAAAATTGAGATATCTCAGGTTATGGTTCCAGTTCCAGTTCCAGTCATATGGCCAGTTGGAAATGTTGTATTTGAGGGAGTTACTTCCGACATCAAGCACCGCAAGTTTGTTTATCTTGCAGAGTTCTGCGGGGAGGACCTGGAATTTATTGCCATTAAGATGGAGGACCTTTAGATGGCTTGACTCCTCCAAATCGTCAGAAGGAAGAGAACTCAACTCATTTCCAGATAGATATAGCTCAGAAAGGTACTGCAATCGCCGGATAAATCCTGGGGGCAAGTCTGTTAAGCTGTTGTAGGACAAATTCAGCACTCTCAACTCGGTGAGTAGTGCGATTTGATGGAAGATGTCGTCTTCAAGCCGATTGTCAGCTAGATAAAGCTGCCTCAGCGAGCTGACAAATGTAGTGTTTATTCGTTGCGAGAACGTGGAATCCTTCCTTGACTCAGCTGTCACGCGAGATGCATTTGACGATTTCCTTCCGCTGGGCGAGCTCATCGATGGTATTGACCCTTTCCTAGTTGAGTCTGGAGGCGTCCCCACCTGTAAACGACTGGTGGAAGCATGGCTTGGTCGTCGGAAATCGTACTCTTCACCCCTTCCACCAACACCATCGTAGCTATCAGCGCGAAGCAACGGGGTGCCCATCGGAGTTAAATTATTAGTTGCTTCGGACGGCGGGAGGGGTGGGGAGGAAGCTGGCTTGGGGAATATTTCCAAGACATTGGACGAGACATTCAGGCTCTCCAATTTGAGACAGTACCATATCTCGGCGGGAAGCCTGTTAAGGTTGCATTCTCGCAGGTTCAGGCTCTTGAGCTCAGTCAGGCAGCCTATTGATGCAGGTAAGATGGAAAGGGGGTTTTTGGCCAGGTTGAGATGTTCCAGTTTCTTGAGAGAACCTATGTTAGGTGAAAGGGTAACGAAGTGGTTTGTATTGAGAATAAGTTTGGTTAGGTTTGGGACGTTGGCGAATAGCGAGTCTCTAAATTCGACTAGTTTAGCCGATGCTATATTCAGAGAATGGAGCGTTGGTAGTGGTGATGTGATATCAAATTCAGTGACGGGGCAATGGTCAAGTACCAAGGTCCTCAACCTAGGGAATGAACCAGAAAAAGCTGACACAGCGTTATGGCCAACGAGTAGAGTTTCCAGCCTGGGGAGGGAAGCCATGTTATCGATGGATGTGATGTTGTTAAATCGTGCATCAACCTCCTTGAGTTTGGTAAGCCCCTTAAAAGTCTCAACCAGCGGTCCGCTGAGACTGTTATTCGTAACCCACAGTCGTTCCAGGGAGGTAAATTGGCCAATGGTGGGTAAATCCTCGATTTGATTAAAACTGATATCCAAGTCAACCAAACTGTTCAGATTCCCCAAAAATTCAGGGAGAGCACGGAAGTTATTGGACGAAAGATTTAGACTTCTTAGTGAAGGGAAATCCCAAAAGTTGGCAGGTAAACTGGAGAGCTTATTGTTCGCCATCTTCAAGCTGACTAGGCCTTTCAACTTGTGTAAATTAGCGTGTTCAAGCTTTTCCAGGCGGTTGTTGGATATGTCGAGGTACGTCAAACGCGAAGCGAGACTTAGGCTCGGGGGAAGCTGCCAAGCTTCATTACTGGTAAATCTAATTTCTCGCAGGTTAATGCAGCTTTGGATGAAATCCTTGGGGACATCCAGGGCCAAGTTCTTCGAGAGATTCAGGGATATAATTTCGGACGCCTTCTTGTATAGTTTCAGAGGTATTGTGGCCACACTCCTCCCTTCAAGGTCAACATGGCTGTATTTTTGGTTATCTGTGAAACCAAGTTCAGGGTCAAGATTCGAATAAACGCCTAGTTTGGTAGGGAGGAAGGTGAACCGGCATATATAGCTGTTATCCTCGCGTCCTATCTCAGTAATACGATCGGACATGTGGTAACCGACTTGTCGAAGTAAACGTTTTTGCATGAGGATAGGACGCTCGTTAGGCTCGAGAGTTCGGCTGAGATCATTTTTTCGCATCACAATTTCATAATTGTTTAGATCCTCTTGCAAGAAAGATTTCCGTCCCAACATCTCCAGTAGCTGGGTGACTGTGGTATTTAGGCCAGCAGATAGAGTCGCGAAGGTCGAGTCAATACGGAAAACACGGATACAGAACGGATGGCCATCTTCATCGACGTCCTTCTCGGGGCCAGGGTCAGCCACACTAGACATGCGTGTGCCAGTATCCTCCGTTGGCCTTTTGACTTGCCAGCTATCGGGAGGATGCCAATCATCAGTACCAATGAGGTCCAGTGGAGTTAGAACCTCACCATTGCCAGTGAATGGTTTTGTACCTCCAAATATAAGGCTTGTGTCAGTTGGAGATATGGCATCCGGCTGTGTCACTATACCCGACATGTCACCCAGATTGGTATCGAGGAAAACTTGATTGTTATCAACGTTATTCCGGCGATCCTTTACATTTTTCCCATCCAAAAACCGGCGACCATGTCTAAGCCGACTAGGCCCTATTGCAGACAGTGCCTTGCTAGTAGTGCCTTCTTTCTTGCGATCGGATTCATTGTGCTCTCGCGAAGTCGACTCTGAGCTACCTTTCCTACCGCGGAGGACGGAACCTGGCTCGGAAGTGAAATAACTGGCAGCCTTACTCATATCTTGAACAGACTTTGAGGATGGAGGTAAGTTCTTGAGCGAGTTAGATCCCCCCTTAGGACGGCGGATGCGGTCAAATAGAGACCTTTTTGGCGCAGAGGGATTTGAGGACTGATCGCGCGCATCTCTAGGGTTGACACTCCGTGTGCTAGGTGTAGGGCTAGCGGAACGACCGCCGAGCGTGGTAGAGGAACTCATTGGAGTTGGGGCCTGCAGGCCGTGCTCTCTCGACTGTCGCATAAGAGGCGGGATTTCATCACGACCTGAAGCAGGTCGCGGCGGTAGCGGAGAGCTGATATTGGCAGTATTAGGCGGGTCTTCCTTGCTCTGGGTGTAGCGGTGGCCGGTGAGATGAAGACGATGAGTCGGACGAACCTTCGGCGCGGGAGTCGGCGGCTGATACTCAGAGGGGTCCGTGGTAGGAGCTTGCCTGACAGGGGCTTCACCCAGGTTCGGGATATCTCTGAAGTTCTGGTACTCCCAGGGAGTTACTTCGCTTGAAGGTATGGGAGTTCGCGGGCGAGCGGGATCAGGGGAAGCAGTTCGATCGAGGCTTAGTGAGTGTGTGGATCCCTTCCGCGCTCTGCCCGCAGAACCCGTCCGTGGCCTCGAGCTTGACAGTCGACTAGACGATCTCAGGGTCGTAGGAAAGGAAAGGTCCTGCTGTTCAAATTCGTCACCAAAGATGCCCTGGAGGCGCTTATGGAATCGCCCTCCGCGGGAGCGAGAGCCTTGGCTACCGACGGTGGTCGCTGAGGCTACGGAGGGCCGTCGAAGGCTGTCTCCATCGTCCTCGTCCTCGTCCGGACGAAGGCTATTTAACCGCACCTGGGAGAAAAAGGGGTCGAACGAAGACGAGGGCTGTAGTTCTGGAGAATCGTGGTAGAATGTTCGCTTTTGTTGCCGCTGCTGTTGCTGCTGCTGCTGGTTTCCATCGGAGGGCAACATGGGTGAAGATGTAGCGCTAGGGCCATCATGACCGATCCGGCCAAGGGCCATCTTCGGATTGGCGCTTTTTCCGGGACGAAATGTGAGCTCAACAGCAGCCCCTCAGTGCCTAAGAAGGAAACCCGAAGCTAGACAAGACACTGTGCAGGTTATACAGCTATCACGGTTGTCCGTCAGAAGTGCGGGTGTCGCCAGATTGTCCAGCTCGATATCGGCGTGTGGGAACATGCAAGGCCCGCTCCAAACCGGCGGGCTCCAAGGACGGGTGGCATTCGACAAGAGATGAAGCTCGGCGAAGCTTGTCGAGGCGACGAATTCGAGTGTAGCAGGCAAGCGAGGACACGAGCTGTATGATGAAGAACGGACGGCGCGCGCAGGGGCGAAGGCAGCTAGCTGAAGGGGAGGTCGCTTCGCACGGAGGGCTGCAGCCCGTAACGAGACAAGAGCGCAGGATACGGCGCCAGGGCTGGCTGGATTGATCTTTTTTTCTTCTGTCTGCGTCTGCACTTCCGCCTCGATCTGTCACTCTGTCACTCTCGCAGGTGGGCGCAGGAGGCAATACAGTTCGTCGTTGACACTAATTAGACGGTCGATCTCTCTTGTTTGCCTCTCACACCAGGACGGAGGCGTTGGCCCGGCTGCATAGCAACCTTTTCCGCATCAACCAGGGCGCCAGGCCAGCGTTCTTCAGCTCGGAAAGTCTTCAGCAGTCCTATCAGAGGGCGCTCCAGCATGCAACGATCGCTGGAAACTGTCGAGATGTTGTTTGTTCGTCGTTTGGCGTCGTTGAACGTCGAGGTCGAAGTCGCTTTTTTGCCTTTTTGGGGCTCTGCTCACGTGATCGTGACAGTCAGCAAAGGACGAAAGGGAAAAAAGTCGACGTCGAGGCATCGAAAAAGGTAGACAGCACAGCGCAGAAGGACGAAGACGATAAAGGGGGGGGACAAAAAGGAAAGCTGGGAACATGGGTGTCGATGGCAAAGCGAGATCTGGGTGATCAGGACAGAGCGCGGCACGGAGGACCACTCCACAGAAGCTCAGCGCCCTGAAACAGCTCCACGACATCTCCAGTTTGATATCGCCCGCGTTTGTTTCATCAGGAGCCCAATATACCATCCTCCTATACCCAGAGGCATGGGAGATCGGGGCAGATACGTCATGGATCAGAGAATATCTATCCAACTATCCAAGGTTACATATGGCCGTCCCTCCACCCGTTGCGATTGATGTCATCTTGGCTTTGGCAGCTTATACACCCGCGATCCATGGTACCTCAATGATACTACTAGTGCCGCGATATTGGCATAACCGACAGGAGTCAAGCTCATAGCTTGTCGTTATCTAGACGAAACATGGCTTTCCGGTATCCTTTCGACAGCAAACTTCCCAGGACGGCCCGAACGGAACAGTGACGGGACTGGCGGCACTGCAATTGTTTCGCCTTGTCTAATGACAAGATCTATAATTTTAATTGCTCAGCCAACTTGTCCGGGTCTATGGTACTGCCGGCGGTTCCTTTGATACAAAAAAGATGCACTGCAGAGAGCTCGGACAAATATCTTTGATAACAGGTGTCTTTATTCAGATTTATTTCTGTAAGAGGGCTACTCTTTCACGTCCAGCTTCTTAATAGCTTCATCTACGTTCTCTCCAACCGATGCCTTGACACTGGCTTCACCTTCCACTGATCCATCCGGTTTAGCAGTAACATTTTTTGCACCACCGGGGTACCTGTTACCCTTGTCCTTTGGCTTCTTCTGCTTCTTTTCAGGTGCGGGAGGAGGCGGGTAGGCTTTCTTTGCCAGCTCTTGCCACTCGGGGTCTGCGGCGTATGCAGCCTGGATCGGAGCAAGGATATTATTCAATGCAGTTGTTATGGAGTGTTTGAGGATTTGGGGTGTTAACTACTCTGTTAGTTTGACGACCATATATAAATGGCGAGAAAGGGCAGAGGGATAAAAGTACTCACTTTATCAGCCTGGTAATCAGCCTTAACAGCATCGATGGAATCGTACACTACCCGACCGCCCTCCTCTTCGCTCCTGTCGACGACAAAGGCGCCCTTGCCATCTGCGTTCTCCAGTGCACTAACAGGGAGCAGAACATATTCAACAAAGCTAATCATCCCGTTACCCTCAGTTTCCTTGGGTACTGCATAAGCCTTGCGGATCTTCTTCTTAACAGCGTCTGCAGTATCAAGGATATCAATCTTGGAATCCGGGTCGGAAGCAGACATCTTCCCGCCCGCCAGTCCAGGGACCATCGGGTTCATCAAGTGTGCTCGCTCCTTATACCCAATGCGAGGAAGTGTTTCCTGAGCCAGGGTGAAAATCTTTCTCTGGTCAACACCGCCGAACTGTGCGTCAACGTCTAGATGCTCTTCGTCCAGAGCCTGCATGAGCGGATAAATCAATCCAGATAACGGCGCATTATCAACTTGCTTCACGACCTCTGCACCGGCCTTTTTGGCGTCATGCTCGGTCACCATGCTGCTTAGGCGGAATATGTCCATTGTATACTTCGCCGAGAGCTGGTAGGAAGATCCTAGCACAAACTCAAGCTTCTCGAGGGGCACGTGTATGGCTTTGAGCATGGCTGTTATTACATAGCGGTAGTAGTCGGCGCGGAAGTTGACTAGCTCAATGGGAGCTTTGAGGTTGTCGAGGAAGCCGTGGATGTCGGCCAGCAGGATCTTGACGTGACATCCTGCCCGAAGGAAGTGGGCGATCTTTACAATGGGGACAAAGTAGCCACAGTGCGGCCTACCAGTGGTAGCAGTACCTAAAAGAAGTCGCACATCTTAGCAACACGTACGCTAGGCTCTGATATTCTCATATCTGCTGTTCTCGTCTTTATGACTCTTGAGAGTGGGGGGGTTCCGCGCCGCACCTAAGTAGATTTTCAGGGGTCTGTTCTGCTTGACAATTATATCTTCAAGGATCTCTGGCTTGAGAACCTCTTGCAGGTTCTGTGTGATCAGCTTGATCTTCTCCTGCGGCGTTAGTTCTGACCCCATGGCTGCGCTGTTCTTGACCTGATGAATCTTCGACTTTGCTCGCTTTCCTCCCGTGTGCCTTTTTCGCGGGGGAGTTAGCTGAGTAATCAGTCACGTGAATTAACGTCCTCGATCGCTTAGTCATCTCATACAAAAAGAAAGAAGAAAGCTTGTCGGTTCTTCTTTTCGATCCACTACTTGGATGCATCAAATCTAGAGTTATTCTAGACAGGTTGACGATGCGTTATACCCACATGGAGTTGATACCCATGCTAAGATGCAAGCGACAAGGATAACGTGTCAATGTACAACCACAACATCTTTGGCGAAAGAGAGCTTCCAGCGCATCTACTTGAAATGGACAATCAGAGCCAAACATCGCCCCATGCAGCACCGTGGCAGGCAACCTGGAAATCCTTCATCGGCCGAATGAGAGTGAATGCCGCTCTTGACTCGCCTATTATACGTTGAATCGGCTTAGCGTGGCGTCATGGATGTAAAGGATGGTATATGAGTACTGAACACTGAGAATACGCCTATAAAGCCAGGTGAACTCCTCCTTTGCTCAAGCCATGAACTTCCTACCCATCTCATCGATCATACAACCCTAAGGATTAAGATGAAGAACCTCACTTCATTCCTGTTTGTCGCCATGGCCACCCTGTTTTCTGGGGCCACTGCCCTACCTCGCCCGGCGGACGGCGGCGTATCTACCATACAGTCTTGCTGGATTGCATGTTGGGATGCTAGTATCACTTGCCCCAAGATACAGCCTGTACTTATTTCCCTTTAGATAATCTCTGGTGCTGTTTAGCAAACATAACTAATTTATTTTTGGTATCCTAGTATCCAAAACAAGATGGGGTAAGTTAACCACTGCCATGGACCTAAATCTTCCGCTTTATGACTAATGTACACGGATAGGCGTGCTGGACTTGCTGTAATACGCCTACCAACTAAATGGGAGGATCTATTAGTGTACCACATCCTCTAATCAGCCTGCTTGTACATTTTAACTATCGCTCCTTCTCATTATTATCCGTGCATTACACTTTCAAATATCTCTCTGATAGTTAGATAAATGGCCACTCCATTGAAATATAGGCTCACGGGCTTTGCAGCGCGCACGAAGCTCAGGATCCCCCTTTTTCGGAGTATGTTGTTGCTAGTAAGTGTTATTCCAGCCTTTGGCTGGCGTTGCGCGCCTTATTTGTGTTATACGCGCCAAATCATTGGTGAGGTTCTGTGGTTACTTCGAGAACTAAAAACACCATCTAACTTCTAGGGGCCTCGCAATGATGACGGAGGATGTTGTACGTGCGTCTCTCAAGGCAAAGCAGGCCATATTTGACAAGGGCTTTCGTGTGTGGTCAACCCTTTATCATATCGCTCAAACAGAAAAAGCTCTGCCCGAAAGCTGCCTTCAGCTCCAAAGGACATTTACACACCTGCCGCACTTTACTCTAGCCTTAGATTTAAAAAATTGCTATGGTGTACTATACGCGACGAGATCCTCAACCTGGGAAACAAATGGCCCTAAAGAGCTCCCCTTTGTTGAAAAGGATCTCAAAATATATGTCTCGGCCACAACTCCCACTCGTCTCACGCTGTCGTCTGATCATCACCATGACTATCGGAAATGGTTTGGCTGCAACGAGGACCATATTTCCGTGTTTATACTCGCCTAGGCCTACATTCATTCAGCTCGGTAGGCAGAGCTTATGCCTGGCTCTGTACTTGAGTACACCGATAGCCAGCCAGCCCAGAAAGGCGGTGATCAGGATACCATCTTAGTGGATATCGGCGATGTCAGCAGTGACGCAGTGAGATGGTGGAAGGCAGTCTTGGCCCCTGGAAAGGGTTGGAGAGCTTGTATACCTTCCGATAAAGCTGATTATAAAACCCCTTGGTCAATCCAATACAGTCCGCCGCAGGGATTAGCCTGATATACCATCAACTAAGCCTATATCATCCTCAGCTGCCCTCCACTACCTCTCTGAGTACTGCAATCTCCACAATACCATGGATCAAAGCCACGCAGCACTCTCTGTAGCTATAATGTTCTCTCTTCCCCGCTCCAGGAGGCAACATGTTTGCCTACCAGCGCCTAGGCTCAGACGCGGAGGGCGAACCGCACCGAATGAAGCGAAGACACAGATCGGCCATGAGTGGATACAGATGTCCTGCCATTTGGACAAATTACTTGTCCTGAGCTGCAACACAAGAGGGGTAGAATCACTACTATCTAACATCTTCTACGACAGTGAGGTGGCTTGCAATTTGGTAAGCCCGTGGCTAAAGGCCGCCTTCGCTATCCTTGACTCCGTTAACGGGAATTTGGGATAGTTCTTTCGCCTATATGCACCATATATGTGGCCAATTATTTAAAAAGGATGGTGAGAGAAACCTTTCATTCAAAGACCAAAGGGAAAAGGGAGAAGAGAGGTAAAGAATAAAGCATACATTGGCTTATTTGGAGCTTGGAATGGTTCTATGTAACTAGTTAACAGGGTTCTAACCACGCTGCACAACGGCCCCTAGATCAACAATGTTCACTCGCTGTGTCTGGCTACTAATTCTGAGGAAGCTTATCAATCCTGAAGAGTTGGTGTGCACCATTGGTCGGTTTCCTCAATTTCAGAACTCGGGTTGGATTTTTGTCACTGAACGGCTCAACTGTCCATAAAAGGCCTTTCCCACTGAGTTCCCCAGAACTGATCATATATACCCCCTTGCGAATTGACATAATCCTGACGGCTGATACAGATGATTCGGTCACAGCTGCGATTGCGCCTTCTTCGTATTCTGGGAATTGAATAAATCTCGTGCTGTTGCTATCTCGGACAACGTGCCATCCTGACAAGCTGTCGCCAATATACCGGAAATCCCAGTGATGCATTTTATTGCGGGAGAATGCGACAACTCCATTGCCGATTGAGGAGTCCAAGTTGAGATATCCAACACTCGAGTCAATTGCGTCGATCAGAGTGACATTTGCATAGATGGGCTGCTCTCTGGGCCCAGCAGCGGAGGCGGTGGCTAGACAAACCAAGAGGCAGCCAGTGAATATAGAGATGAAGTGCATGGTAGCGGAGGCCTTTAGTATTGTGAGCCAGCTGCAGCAGGGATTGAGGATGGTAGTTGTGTTTCTTGCCTCAAGATAGCGGGTTATTTTTGGATATTTATATACTTCCATGTATAGCTATCTATATCAATGAGATGCATGTGCAATGGCCGAGAGAGCTGGCTATTATCGCAGATAACCATCCCCTGGGTTCGGAGTACTTGCTTACTATAGTTATATCAATCATATACGCGCGGCCTGGGCCTGATAAGTATAGGGTAAGCTCAGAATTTCCCAAATAGGGCAAAGGAGGGGGACGCTAGCTGGAATTGATATCAGCTTACCAGCTACATGCTTACTTCTAGGTAAGCCGGGTGGTCCTAGATAACGCGTATATAAGTAAACTGCTAGGTTATATGTATGTCAGATTTGATGAAGCATATTCATGAACTATGCAAACGGCCGACAGCTGGAGCTTACATTGCCGTGTTAAATCATTCAGTAGTCAACGGGAAATGGTGGGAGACTGTATAAAAGCTACCCTAATCTACATGCAGAGTGCTTAAAAGCGGATAAGTTCAGTAAAGGCCCCCTGTTGCAGACATATATCGTTCGTGATGACCGCGCCTGGATATTGTATATCTGTGAAGTATATATAGATGGTCAATCAGCCAGCAATTGCACCAGTACCTAATACACCCATCACATCAACTTGGGTCTAATCTTCCTCCTACAAGCCCTACTGATACTTTCTACTTCACTGACATTGTTCATTTCCGCTTTGCCCACCTCAAGATGCGTGTACTTCTAGCATTTGCCTTTCTGGCTTCTTTTGCCAGCGCTGCCGTCGAAAGCCTACATGGACCATTCACCATTAACAGTGTGGTATACGGAGAGAATATGACTCTTGCGGGAAGCAACGACGAGCAAATCAAATTTATAGGCACCACGGACAGCTATTGGATCATCCAGTCAGTTGCAAGAGACGCCAAACCATGGCATACCATAGAAAAATACTCCAGGATTACGCAACAGAGTCACTACATCAACTTCAAAGAACACAAAGCCGGGGAACCCGCCACAATCTCCACGGGGGCCGGCTCAATTTTCGAGTTCGAATATGCTGGGTTTGCCATCTTCCGATTTGCTTCAATCGACCATCCCGACCTAAAGACGAAGCTGTACTGGACGGTGAAGAACAATGGAACTGAGAGCCAGCCTGATTTATATTTGGCACTTGAGCCCGAAGGAGTCGGATACCAAATCTTCACCGTTTTTAATCGTCCCGTAATCCCTTGATGTGGTCGCTGGTATGGATACTCTATACGGCGGTCATTGTCAGTTTGGGGGAGATGCGATGTGAGGTGTATATAGTTGTTGGCTTGTATATACATTTTACTACGAAGTCAAGAGTACTGTAGCAATATTGTTCGAATCATACAACTCTATTAGGAGGTAGATATCATTCTCGTACTGCACTGAAGGCCAAGTGTCTACCCTCTCTATTTGGCTTTGCGGAAAGCTGTTAGGAGTGGAAATAGGCCTGCGGTGGGCCTCTTTCAGCTATCGAGGCGACTTACGTATAATTAGATGCGACCCAGGACACGGCCATGTTGCGGTTGGTAGTTGGGCAAGGAGGTTGCAAGGAATGGCCAAAGATATTGCGGCAGCACTTGAGGGGAGTTCTCAATAGACAATCCGAGGCGTCTGCTTTGGCTTTGGTAGATTGTGGTACTGAGCTTGGGGCTTACGAGATCGCCATGGCAATGGGCCGGTGTCAGGAAAGCACTATTTCGAAAATGTTCGATACAGCGGATATCAATCAAAGGACGACTTCTGGGAAATCATTACTTCACCTGGCGGCAGAGACATCGAACATCAAAGCGGACTGCAGTGCAATGTCACGCATGATTTTGGTAATACACCACTTCACGCAGCTTCTTGCACAAAAGAAGCTACTGAAAAACCGATACGTCGGTTGAATTCCAACCCTTATCCGCCACTTCGGAGAAAAACCACCCAGGTAGATCTTTCACGCCTTGTTGTAGATATTTTGGCACGCAAGCCTAAGCCCTCTTGCCGTGGCAGCGAGGAAGCAATCCTGATTCTGTTGAAATATGGAGCTGTGGTTAACATGAAGAATCGGCAAGGTGTTACTGCGTTGCATCTCGCATCCGAAAGCCGCGATTTGAGCCGATTGGAAGCGTTACTGGATAATGTCGCTGACATTAATGCCACTGATAACGTGGGATGGACGGCGCTGCGATGTGCTATCAGTATTGGCTCGGTTCCAACAGTGAAGCTTCTCCTGCGGCAAAAACCGGACTTGAGATGAAGCGCGTGGATTGAAATTGGACGGGAGAGTCGGGAGAAGTTGACTATTCTTGAACACGCACAGTTTATAGGTGCTTCAGAAATAGTGTATGTGCTGAGAGAATACAGAAAGAATTCCAAGAATTCGAACGGAGGCTTCATCTCTGATAACTTCCCTACTAATAGTTCCACTGATGTACATAACGATTGATACACTAGCCTAAGAGTATAAATACACTTTTCATATCTTTAATCCACCCTATACTAGGTTGACAACACTGTGCCACGTGGGTTTCCGCCAACCACTATTATATAGGGATGGGAATGTTGAACTTCTTTAAGGCGATGGGCCATTTAGTTCCCGATAGAAGTTTACCTGTATGGCCGAATCTTAACATCACTGCCATCAAGAGGCCCGGGCTCAGCAGACTCAGACGTGTTAGAGCCCTTAGGGGCGACTGTTTGAACTGATGTGGTTTCCTTTAAGGCAGAATCGGTTTCAACTTGGGGCAGCGACTGCATGTGTCTTTCATTCGCGGATCTTATGGCCATATCTCTCTGTTCCTTTGTCCATTCCAAGGCATTTCGATAGGCAGTTGCTCCCTTCCTGAAAGACTCCGAGTTACCAGTCATATACCAACCATCGAGTTTAGACATGATGTATTCAGGGCGATTATCACTCTCTGCGGTAGGAGCAGCAATGTGCGTTGTAAAAAGCCTAAGAGTGCCGCCATGATAAGTCGAAGTCACCGTGTATGCGTTGCCGTCGTACACGGTGTCTTTCTTGTAAGACTGGAGAGAGTGTATTCCTCTAGCAGCTAGGGCACCATCGTAACAAGCCTGCAGTGAGGCCACAGGAAGGGAACCACTGGGGCCTTTAGCTTCAAAGAAGAAGTTCAGGAGCATCGGGCGGTCTTCTGCGGTAGAAGGGATAATTTTATCCTTGAGCGCCTTGCGGATATCAAGTGTAAGGTCCTTAGGGTGAGCACCGAAGAAATGGTCTGGTTTTGCACTTGCCAGCGAGCCATCTGTTAAAGGAGCAAGGTTCGTAAATGGATAATCCGTTCCACGAAATTGTGTGCTAGTATCTCCTTCGATAATTGGAAGGATCTTCGCCGTTACTTGTTTCTCAGTGCTCATTTGCTCATCAGCTCGTACAAACGCCTCGAAGTCACTCTCAGAGAATCTCGAAGGGGAGAGAGAGCGCCTTGGCTTAGCTAACCGTTCTTGAATTTCACCCCAATTACTGGGCTTTGTGGGGTCAGAACGATGGCCATAGCCCGTACAGTAAATTCCATGATCAGCGAGATGCTGCTGAAAATTCCGACTGTAAGCCGAAGTATTGGAGGGTTTGGTAGTAGCCTTATCTATATTGTTTTCTAACGGAGACCCAGCACGCCTTTTCCGACTCAGTGATCCCGGCGTACTCATCGATTGATGATAGGAGATCTGGAGCTGGAGATCGGGGTACTTCAATGCAGTCAGTTAAAACATCAACGGATATGGAGAATAAAGAAAAGAGGGAAGAAAAGGGAGCATGGGGCCATACATTTCTAAGGTCAGATAGATCAGGACCGCCGTGCCTCGCGAAGATCTTTATAACTCGCAGGTCCTCTTTGCAATACTTCGCTGGGTGTGGGTATAGCTCTTCAGCAGTGCCTGGCGACTTCTCGTCAATGGCCGGCGGAGAGGTTGCTGCGTCAGAGGATTATTCCTTTTTGAAGCAGCGTCGTTGCGTCGATCAAGTTCTTGCAAGGCACCTCTAGTCAGCCAAACTGTCGATAAGTTATCCCAATACTCGGGTGGTGAGCGTCGTGTCAAATTTTGCGACGCCTGAGAGAGAGGCTCTTCGTTACGGCGTCGACGAGAAGCCTCCAGAGCGCTTGGGGAAGACATCTGCCACAGCAACTGGTGGTGGTAAGAAGGGCAAGGGGGTATTTCATTCAGTTGGGCGGAGAATGGGCGTGTGAGCAGCAATGGCATTCCCGACCCCCTATTGTTGGGGCAACTCTGATTGCACGGGAGGTTAGCTCGATGCAAGCCGGCAAAGGGCAGGCTAGACATACTTATGCAGCAGCATTGCTACAAATGCTGCGGTGTGAACGCGCCGTAGAGATTGTTGATGCTGATGCTGATGCTGATACTTGAAGTTGTTTGTTCCGCTTTCGACTAGTTAACTGGTTAGTCCAGGTAACTATTTAACTATACACTCTCTTTTACACTCTCTTTTACTTCTTATAGTAGAAGTAAGAGAAGCCTTGAGTAAAAGGAAGGGTATAGGAAGGGGTATAAGGGAGAGTGTAAGGTATAAGGAAGAGTGTAAGGGAGAGAGAGCAAAGAGGCTTAAGGAAAAAGGTGCTTGGGTAAGATAAATAAAATACAGAGAGAGTAGTTTAGTAAGTAGAAGCCTTCTCATTAGCCAATAATATAGTCTTATTCACATTAGTAATAACGTTACTTGTATATACCACTTTCCTACGTGCTTATATAATGTTAGCCCCTTGCTGCCCCTGGTTGTTCTCTGCTACTTACTTCGCTTCGCTGTTTATCCAAGAAAAGGTTGCTTGCTTTGTTGCTGCAGGGCTGTTACAAGCCGATGTGAGAACGGTTGAGTCAAAAGAGTGAGTCAATTGGTTGAAGCAAGCTGTACGTTTGGCAGCTGGTTAAGTAGAGTCAAGCCGACATCCTTCAGAAGTTGGTCTCACTCGGTCTCAGCTCAGTAAGCTACGTGTTCCAACACTCAACGCTGTGCATGCGGAGTAGGTAAATAGGTAGACGCAAAGGACGTCATCTGCGGCATCCTGCTACAACCTATCAAGCCGGGGGGCTGGTTGGGCACGAACTGAGTCCAAGGGCTTTCCTTTCTCGACGGAGCAGCGAGGAAATTGGATGGCTCAGATCGAAGGAGTGATACGCCAGTTAATCCCACGATATCATCATATGAGGGGGGGGGGGAGGGGGGACGTGAGGCCAGAGAATGTGCTGATCGACCGGGCAGACATGGGGTTACTGGTTTTGGGTGCAGGTTCGTTGATGCAAAAGGCTGCGCTGCATAAGACGATAGACTGCCTTGGGTATCTGCCGTGACCAGCTGTAGCAGGTAGATATCGAGTGATTGGCATATATTGCTGCAGGCGGTTTGACTCTATAGACGTCGCATCAAAGTCAGACGCTGGCCGTCTCGTGAATTTGGTTTCTCGAGAAGTATACAGATCATAGATCGGACGCTCCGCTGGAACCCCGAGGGTCGGACAGCATATGGTGCAACAGCCAGCCAGCCTGCGGCCTCTCCCACCGCTTCGAGAAGCGATGGAATAGATTAACTGTTAATTAATCTTTGAGATCTTGCTGCAGTTAGTTAGATAGTATGGGGTAAGCGAGCGATGAAACCGAGATGTGAAGTCGAGATAAGCAAAGCGAAGGTGCCGGCCAACCCTGTAGCCATGCTAGATATCAGACCAAGTATTGAGTCGGCCAACCGTGCAACCTGGAGCTTTCTCGTCTTTCTCGTCTATTATTTTTTGGTCATGGTCGGTTATCATGCCGTTCGTTGCCTGTCGCACCGATGACATGCCTGTCCCTTCTTCCAGACAGATGGAAAGACAGTCTTCGGACATCTGCGAGAGATCCTCCTGTCTCTCTCTTCATCCCTTTGCTCCTTTTGCTCCTTTTGCTCTCCTTTTCCTCTTATCAGCAGTCAATAGCTCAGCTTTTGAGGCGGCAAACTATTCGCTTTTGCAGGAATGCGCCCCAAACGACAGGCAAGACAAGGTCTCAGAACCGAAGGATAGTTGCCAGTAGCCGGAATGTCTATAAATAAAAATAGGCAAAAAGGGCTATCGGAAAAAGCGGCTTGCGCTAGCCTCAGTTATGCTGCTGGATAAATCAGAGCAGTCAACTAGTTTGCTGGTGCTAACAATAATATGTATGGACGGCGTAGTCCGTAAGTTAGTTGCCTGCTGGGGAGCAAGGCCAGCCTCCTGACTAGTCGGTACCTTGCATGAAATAGTCGAGCCCGGTATGAAGCAAGGTCAAGTGCTGTATGTATAGTGTATACGTGCAGCCGGGCGCATTCTGAAGCGGTCCAGCCCTCTTCCATCCCTTTTTCTGGCTTGCTTGCTTGCTTAAGCTGCTGCTGCTCCTCCTCTCGCTAACTAGTCGGCCCTAGCTGCGTTGGATGTCTTACGTATGTTACCCCGGGTGCGCTTTGTTACCTCGCTGGCCTCCGCAGATACAGAGTACGGAGGTTTAAGCAAGCGAGATCCGAGGCATCGAGCGCATCATGGGACGTCTACATGTAACGTCGGACAAAAAGCATGAGGGGAGAATGCTCCCTGCCCTTGACCTTGTCGTGCAGTAGCCTGTGCTACCTGCGCGCCGTGCTGGGGGATGGAGCAGGACTCCGCCCCGTCCACGGTCAATCCACAGTCAGTCCACCGTCCACTGTCCGCTGCCCCTCTCTCGCTCTTGTCCTGTCTCCAGGGTGACGATGTCGCGATGGAGAAGGGCTCCAGCGAGCGCTCGCCTGGTTCTAACTGTGGTTCCTGCGCCAGTCGCCAGTTTTTCTGCGTGCCGTGGGTCGACACTATCCAGGGTGGCTTGGGAGGGCAACCAAGATAACAGCCGACGGCGACAGCGACAGCGACAGACAGGCGGGGACTAGTCGAAGCTGTAACCACCGTCAGTCAAGTGTCAATCAATCAATCAATATCAGTATCATCATCTGTCAGGGAGATCAACACTAGTTATATCACCGGCCAAGTTCCAGTCCAAGTTCCCACCGCGCAGAGGCTGCGTCAGCGCGAAGATCGGGCTCGCTCCTGATGACGCTGGCCGAGAGCAGCTCCATCTCGACTCCGCGCCTTTATCGCAGGCATCGCAGGCATGTCTCAGCTGGCGCGCAAGGAGGCTGGGAGCGGCGCTGGTTGGCTGGCTGGCTGGCTGGCGGCGCGGGTGGTTGGTCGCAAAGAAGCAAAGAAGCAAAAATACAGGGGGAGGTTGCTTTTTCTGCGGTGGCTGGCGGCTTTTTCTCTCGTCTTCGTATAGATAGAGCGACAGGAGACTGCTAGGTATATAGCCCGGCCTCTCGTCTGCCTCTCTCGTCTCTTCTCTTCTCTTCTTCTACTTCTCAATTCACATATACTAAAGACTAGAAGACAAGATGAAGTACTCGCTCGCTGCCGTCCTGCTCGGCGCCCTCGCCGTCTCTGCGCAGACATCCACAGAGTGCAACCCCCTGAAGCAGAGTGAGTCCACCACATCTACATCTACAAGCCCCCCATGGTAGATACAAGACGAGACTGACGGTATCAGGCTGCCCGGCCGACCCTGCGCTGTCCGGCAATGCTGTCTTCGACCTCACCAACGAGAGCCCGCGCTTCCATGCCACCGGCGGCTCCCCTACCTACGGCAAAGACGGAGCCAGCCTCACCATCGGCAAGCGGTACGACGCCCCCAAGCTGACCTCGGACTTCTACATCATGTTCGGCTACGTCGAGTGGGTGGTCAAGGCCGCCCCGGGCCAGGGCATCGTCTCCTCCGCGGTGCTGCTGTCCGACTGCCTCGACGAGATCGACTGGGAGATCCTGGGCAGCGACCCCAACCGCGTGCAGAGCAACTTCTTCGGCAAGGGAGACACCACCACCTACGACCGCGTCCAGTACCACAATGTGCCCGGCACCACCGAGGGCTTCCACAAGTACGCCGTCGACTGGACCGCGGACAAGACGACCTTCTACATCGACGGGCAGCAGGTCCGCGAGCTCACCCCGGCCGCCGCCAAGGGCCAGTACCCCCAGACGCCCATGCGAGTCCTTGCCGGCAGCTGGGCTGGTGGTGACCCATCTAACAACGAGGGAACCATCGGTGCGTCTCTCTTTTATCTTCTAGCTGTTATGTTAAAGGTGCTGTGTTGCTAACGATTGATATAGAATGGGCGGGCGGCAAGACGGACTTCTCAAAGGTCCCCTTCACCATGCTCGTCAAGTCGATCTCCGTGACGGACTACTCCACCGGCAAGGAATACCGCTACTCCGACATGTCCGGCAAGTGGGAGTCCATTGATGCTGTTGGCGGAAAGGTCAACAAGTCAGGCCAGCCCGGTTCGGGCCCTAAGGTAGAGTCCTCCACGCTGCCATCCAGCCCAAGCACCAGTGCCCATGCTCCCGTTCCCACCGTCCCTGGCGGCGGCATCGGGAATCCCCAGGCCCCCAGCACCGGACCCTCTCCTCCCAAGCCAACTCCCTCAAATGGACCCTCCTCAACGATGACTTCCCTCGCAGGCCTCCCGAGCAGTTGGATCGTAACCGAGACGGGAACTGGGGGAGTCGTAACGCCGACGTCGGCTGCTGTAAGTAGTGAGGCTCTCTTAAACAATCCCCCAAATATTGCTCGCACAGGACAAGTCGAGACTAACCGAGAGACTTAGGAAACAACATCTCATCAATCCGATCATACCTCCCGGTCTTCTCGATCTGTCTTCGTCCTCGGTCTCGCCCTCGTTCTGGTAACGGCGGACATGGCATGACCCCCTCGTCTGGTTCTGGAAGCACTCCCACTGGCACTGGCTCTCACCCTGGCTCTGGCTCTGGCTCTGGCCCTGCTCCTACAGGAATCAGCGGCAGCAACCCTACCGATGGCGGTGCATCCCCAACCAGCCCAGCAATGCAGGCTCCTGGCAGCACCGGTGCAATCCACTCTGTCAGCCGCGTCCTGGTCCTCTCCTTCTGCGCCATGGCCGCCTGGGCTGCTCTCTAAGGATATCCTTATCTCCATCGATATTGATGCCTGACGCCTGATGCTCTGCTTCCACGACCAAATGACTCCATCATATATCATGACCATGACCTTGCACGACATACCAATTCACGACCGTACCAGACGAACCTTTCTTCCGCAAACAGAGTATATATTTTTCCCAGACACATACACGAGTACATATCTACACCACCCCCTTTACACGAAAGACCAACGACAAGACAACGACAATAGATCACTAGAGAACGATAGACCACTCTTCTCCACGACAACTCAATCCCCTCCCCTCATTTTCACAACACAACACCGATGAGATTCTCCCCCTTTTCAGCACCGCTCGCTCTATTCTCTCCCCCCGGCGTGGTGTGGCGTGACGGCGTTTCTTCCATTTCTTCCCTCCTCCATTCTTACTCTTACATATTCCCATCCTCTTAATCCACGGGGCTGCTTCTTTTTTTACACTACATTACATTACATGTTCATGGGTTTTCAGCGTGCCATCGTCTCCCTTTTTTCGTTCCTTTCTGAAGATACCAAAAAAAAAAAGAAAAAGAACAAACATCTTACACTCATCCATCCGACCAAAGCGTCCCAGCGGGGGCCCCAGCAAACTATCACCACTCACCAACTCGGAGACGGTCACGACTATTTGATGACGTTTTTCTTTTTAAAGTACATACCAGTACACTAAATACCATACCATACCTAGGGAAAGGGAGGCAACTAGTGCTCTTCCAGTTTATATAGTTTTTAATACATTTTACATTATCCATCGAGTCGACCAATTTCTGGAATCCTTTTCACCAGTTCCGCATTAATTGGATACCTTCGTCGTCGCCGAAGCAACGTAAATAAGGAGTAAACAGCGGAACCATCTCCATGTTTCCCGCTTGTTTCAGCGCAAGCTAGCTGGCAGATCCGGGGAAGGGCCTCGTATTGATATCCCAGCATCCCCCAGATTACAGTACAGATTGAGCCCAGCCATGCACCAGAGAACAAAGCAGGCCGAAAGACTCGTTCATTCCCCGCGCCGTCAGTGTCTTTACCGAGGGTGAACCGACATGGATACCTGTCAGGTAGACTGACAGATAGGATGGATGGATAGATGTACTATATGTACGTACGGCCGGCCAGCATGTCGTCGCATCCCAGCAAACAATGCAGAAATGAAGCGAGGGCGACCCCCTGTTTCTCCGCAACTCGCATTTTCCAGCCCTCGTCATGCGTAGGACAGAATAAATAAAAGTAGCCTGTTATCCTCGCTGTTCAAATCCGTCTCTCAAGAGCTTCAGGATAAGGAACACGATGAGTGGCGAGATAGGCCGTGTATACCTCTAGTTGGCCGTCACTAACAAGCACTCTTCTCTGCCGTCTCTCAACCTGATACTGACAGTTATCTGATATACGGCCGGAATTAGCCCGCCTGCCTCCTATCAGTGGAGAAGCTACAGTCAACGACCGGGCTGGTTGACTTGCGTGCTAGGAGCCGGGAATTAGAAATACATAAAGAGCGGCCGGCGCTGCGCTGAGCTATCTGTCTGTCCGTCCGTCTGTCTAGCATATACAGCAGGGAGGGATAACAAGATGGACGAGAAACTCGGAGAGCAGACGGAGCAGATCAGCGTGAGCCAGACGAGTAAAGAGGAGCGAGTCGAGGTTGAAGTCGAGGATGCCGAGAAGGGACAGGAGAAGAGCCAGAAGGTCGTCAGCCATGATGCGGACGAGGCGATGAAGGCGTTTGCTGATGCTGGGCCGATCGAGTTGACGCCCGAGGATAATAAGCGGTTGCTGAAGATCATCGACTGGCATCTGATGCCCATGATGTGTGTTGTTTACGGCCTGAATTACCTCGATAGTAAGTCTTTCTCTTTCAGTCGCATACGGCGATGCTGGTGCTGGTTGCTGATGCCCGATTGATGTATATAGAGACGACTCTCTCGTATGCTCAGCGTGATGGGGCTGA